CGCTCTTGATGAAAAGTGTGCTAAAACTTTTGGGAAGAGTTTCGGTTAAGAATACTTTTAATATTACATTGTTACTGTCATTGTTGTTCTACTATCAACCAGACACATTTAACATATATACGTTTGAGGTACCTTACCTTTGAGGTAGTAACATACAATTATGAGTAACAAAAAACATGAAATGATGTAATTCATTACCGTAAAACATGTCTACATTCCATGACGTCCGCAGAACAATTTGTTCCATTTCCTATGTTTTGAATGTCTGATTCTTGCTTGATAATGGTCGATTTCTTTCCACATCTCCAGGACATGATCATCAGAGATTCCTACAACGTGCACCCTACTGTCATCGAGTCATCTTTGTCCAAGCATCCTAAGGTGCAAGATGTCAGGGTAAATATGATATTTCTTAAATGATTCATCGCTATGCAAGCAAGGTATATATGGAAGATGCAATTGATTTGTACCCATTAGGTTGCTTTGTAATATTAGAATGTAGAGAAACATAAGTCGGACCATACTAATTTTTATATCATACCCGGGCCGCGATAACGTTCGATAACGGGTTCCGGACCGGGCTGTACTTTACGGTGCCGCGAGTCGGATCGCCCTCCGGGCTGCGGCCGTCGAGCGATCCGACCCACGGTCGGGCCGATACGTCGGGCGATTCGGAATGCCTCGTGTTGTATTCTATGTGTATAGACACCCAAGCAAGACGATAAACCCCACAAAGTAAAACCGTGTTTCCTATTATGTTGGTCAAAGTAATACAAGTATGGTTGTTTTTATTCCATCAGGTAGTTGGTGTGCCCGATCCCGCCAGTGTGGAGGAGATCTGTGCATGCATCATGTAAATGAATTCGCTATACTTATCAAAGAGCTGACATCCTTTATAGACAAGCCATCACAATTACAACTTGTACGAATTGGAATATGGTTATAAGCGAATCGATCATTACTACATGAACGTCAAATATTTAAATTTTTAATCTAAATTTATTTCGCTATTTATTGTTTTTTGACGGGTGTGAATGAAACTTTGTGATCGGTCTGTTGCTTCTTCTGAAAACCGTATATTGTTGTACTCACATGCCGTTTTGTTATATGAATCATATACTGTCATACTAATGGATTACTGTCATACTGCCATACTAATGCATTGCAGCTTAATCTGATTTAGGAATTCAGTTCGTAATACTTCTGTAAGAGCCTGGGAGCTAAATCCTACTGTATCCATAACTGTGTTTTATCCAGGAATATGATTTTCATGTACGGCCACATGAATCCAAAACCGTGATTGGGATAAACGAAGGCTATCCAGGACTGTCCCATTGAAACATAACTATGTCTGCACGGCTATGGATACGATAGCTTTCAGACAAAACAGACAAGTAGTGGGCTGTAAAAACTTTTACTTGTCTTGTCACCGCCTCTTATGTCGACATAACATTTTTCGTGGAACTGTTTCAGCCTGAATGAGGGACAAATCGCGGACTCTCAGGAGATGACGAGTTTCTGTGCAGAGATCGGGGTAAGGAGAGAGAACAGAGCTATGTA